TGGCTGTGGGCCCAGTTTGGGATCAGGTCGCCAACATTCATCAAACAGAACAAAGATTATTTTAATATCATATCGATCAGCGATGCTGAGAAAATCATCAATCTTTCTCAAATAATCCTCAGCATCCTGTTGATAGAAAAGAACATGAAGGAAAACACGCATGATATTCATACGGATCTGTGAAGCCCAGCCAAGTTCACGTTCCATAGTAACTTTATCAAATGTTTGCCACATATCAATCACGTTCACAGCTGATGAAGGTACAAAGTTCGCTCCAAAGTACCAAGGTTGTTTGGCATACCAAGCATTTGCTTCTTCAGGTGTCCAACGAGCACTATCCACCCCGACTTTGAGACATCCGCAAACGATTAACAAACCCAGAGATAAGAACATTTTCTTCTCAAGAGCAAGTGATTGTCAAACTAATCGTATCTTCTACAATTCTAGATCATGTGTTAGAGACCTCTGTGGTATGGTGACAAATCGACACGTGTTATATTACATGAAGTTCAAGGCATGTTTATATTGCGTTAACATTCCTAACGCGGTTGCTATGAACAATATTATCTCTCTCACTAATATCTTTCTTTTCAACTTTGACGATTGTAACAATTTTACAACATTTAAAAAGAATAATCTATAGATTAATATAGTTTTTTTTTCTGTGAAAAGATGTAGTTGTCGCCACATTACATTCATCTATTCATTTGCATTAAATTAAGTTGTTGACTGTTATCTGCGCGTACAAACCATTGTAAATCAAACATTGGACCCAATAGTCGGTGCGAGATAGAACTTCTTCTTTGTAATCAACATGATTTGGAACATTTCCAGTGCCTTTGCTTTGACTTCGTGCTACGCGAATGATTAGAATTGTAATAGCAAATGTTTCGAGATAGTGGGGTAGTGTGTTGAACCGGCTGTAAATCAATAGAAGAGACCGTTCAAAATTAGCAATACATTTATCAGCGACAGCCGTCCAATAAATTAGATCGGGAACGTGTATTATTCTCAGAATAATTAAAGTAGTAATAGTCATTCCAATGGCGATCTTTGGTTTTTTAAATAATACTAAACTCGGAAAGATACTTGCTTGAAGACGATTACACGTAATCCAACTTATTGATCAAAATATGTCTCGTATCGAGACGAAAAGAAGGTAAGACGTCACATGAGTTTGCACGAGATTAAATTGACTAAATGATGCCAAGCAAAACCAATCGAAATATGAGTAAATTTTAAGAGTAGAACGAATAGCGCGCACTGATTGAGAATCAAAACGATGTAGAGATGATTCGGCCGTTTGAAAACGACAAGAGAACAATAATTTGCGAAGAGACTTGTTAAAAAAGCAGACCAATAGAACACATGTAAACAATTTGAATAATTGAATGATCATTCGCAAGTAAAGAATCAATAGCCAATCCAAGTGTGTATGTTGTATATTCACACTGACGACCGCGAGAATATCTCGTATCTCCTCGAATGCAGTCACTATTGGAGAAACGTGAACTACATTGATCAACAGACGCATCCAAACTCAAGCAGTTGACATGAGTATGATTTGATTAGCACACACATTCACGCAGATAATTTCCATCGTGAAAGCATAAGAGATTTGGATAAACTTGAGATAAGCGATGGTATTCGAAGATAGTTCTTTTCCGATATATGATCTATTCAAAGAAAGTTGACCATGGTAGATATTTAAATACAAATATGAGAACTTACTGTACAGAAATGTTAATGTCATTGAATATGGGCAATGATCTGGGGTTGAACTGATCTCGATACTATAATTTCATTTTCTCGAATGTCTAAGATACAGTATTCGAAATTGAATAAATGATTGTATGATTTGAAAACAATCTCAGGTGGTGCAACAGTATGCACGTGGTGAAATTGAGTAGAAGGAAGTACATCATGCGTGACTTGTTGATTTTAATTAAGAAATTTTAAACTGCAAGGATACACATAATAAAGTTGAAACACCGAAATTACTCCATGAATAGTCGCATCTGCTTTTTCGCATAGTAGTCTCCGTGAAAATTGTTTCAACAATGACATATGAATTCTTGTTGATCAGTCGGATCACTTCTCAGATGACGGCAAGGCCGTGAGTGACATTCGTCATGACATAAATAAAAACGTGGCCCAAAAAGATCGAGAGGACAGATACAAAAAGGGAACTGTTCATATTCATCAGTCCTCCACGGTCTAGTAATTTGCATGTAGCATTCGAAGAACAGTAGAATGAACATTTCCTATCGAATTTATTTTGATTCATTATTTCTTGAAATATCACTTGATAATTAATCGAAGCATTTATTAGAAGAAAAAGATCTACTCTTTTTCATTAGTCACAAGGTAGTTAAACATGATAAAAGTAAAAACAAATATAACTTACCTGGACATTTATATAACAAAACAATGACAGTTGAATAAAAAAAACATGTTTACATTTATAGAAGAATATGTCCTGCTTATATTAGTTATCTATACTGATCGAAATACTGGCTGTCATACATTTTTTCGTGTTATATCAAGAAAAAAAAACAAATCAGTAAATCATTGGTTATTCATCAATTGAATCACATGAAGATAAAGAAAAATAAAAAGATAAAATAATGCACATCGATCGAAATAAATGACATTGTAATTTGATTTTAGCGAAAGAAACGTAAAAAGGTAAATCTATGCTTAAATGATCAATAAATATACATTTATCAACTAAAAACATTTTTATTTTAATCATTAAGAATAAATTTGATCAAACAAATCAATTCAACATGAACCAAGTAACAAAAAAAGATTGATAAAATATCATTTTATATTATATTTTTATTTAGAATGAATTGATTTCAGTGAATAATTCAACGAATTGTGAACAAACTCAAATAGAAAGCGAATCTAATGTAGAATTCAACGCG